TTATGCCTCTACCTTAGGGTCCTGGTGTCCATTGGGGTCAGAAGAGTGCGAAGGTGGCCATGACTCCCCGTAGATGACGAACTTCAAAAAGGCTGCCCAGGCCCAGAACTCACAGTGCAGGGGCACCCGGGGCCCCTTCCACGGCCAGGGGCTCTTTTCGACTTCAAAGAAGAGTATCAAGGGACAGAGACACTTTGAGCACAATCTTTACCACCCCCAGCAAAGCAACGGAGGCACAAATGTTCTAACAACAGCGGAAGCCTGCAGCAGAGACAGGCAGCTGGCTTTCTCATCTCTAGGAAGGACTGGGAGTTAACTGAGTCCAGCGCAGAGCACCTGTGCCGGTCACCACAGACCCAGAGAGACCAAGGTGGGTCCTCAACGACACAAACCTCCGGGCAGCTCCTCCGGCTTCACCACCCAGAACGCCCTGGTCGGCGAGGATCCAAATGCCTTGCTTTGTTGACAGAGGGCAGCAATGCCGGCTTGGCAGCTGGCATAAACAGCGCAGAGATGGAGGGAAGCCAAGAGCTAGACTGTGCATCGGCTCGGGTGCACAGAAGAAGGGAGCGATCCACGACCGGGAAGGGGAAAAGAACGGCTTTGACACCCTATCGGGCACGGCACCCACAGGACCCTGTGCCATCCGTCAGAAGTCATTGGTGACCTCCAGTTAGGGCCAAGCTTTTGTGAAACGGCCTCTTGTGTAGTTGGAAAAGAAAGAACTGCTTGGCCCACCTCCAACAAAAATGCACACATGCTCATAAAACAAAAAGCCCTCCGCAGAGAGTCATTCTTTTTCATTAACCTACAACTTGGAAAAGTAGGATGTCTTTGAGGACCACGGACTCCCAGCTGTGGCAGCTCACAGGGGACAGACACGGGAGGTAAAGGCAGCTGCAGCTTCAGGAGAGTTTGGAGGTGGCTGAAGTGCAGGGGCTGGCTGTCTGCAAGGGAGAGGCGCCAGAAACAGCAGGCACCACGAGGAGGGAGCAGAGGGGACTTGGCCCGGGGCTGGAAGGGGCAGCAATTGGCTTCCTGCACAGCACCCTTGGGAACAGGCCTTCGTGCTGGCGGGAGCCACTGACAGCTGCAGGCGCCTTGTTAACCACACATGTTGGTTCCCGCGGGCCTGTGGCAGCCATGCACACGGATGCTGGCCCAGAGACAGCCGGAGCTTTGGTCACTTGTGGGGAAGTAGAAGGGCTGGGGTCTCCTCCAGCAAATATTTACAGGGGGTGGAACTGAGACATTTACTACCCAGAATTCTCCGCCCGGGGCAGACCGATTCAGACACTAGCAAAGAATCCTCCTATATTTAGAAGCAAGCGGTCGGTCATCGGGAAGCCAGGAGTGAACAAGACAGTGAAGAAATGACGTAACGAAGCCCGGCGTGGTGGCGCCCATAGGCCTGGCTGAGGCAGGAGGATCACAAGTTCGAGGTTGGCCTGGGCAACTTAGCAAGCCCTGCCTCAAAATAAACAAAAGAAAGGGCTGGAGATGGACGAGCGTGGTGGCACACGCCTGTACTCCCAGTGCTCTGGGAGGCTGAGGCAGGAGGATCACAAATTCAGGGCCAACCTAGGGGTAAAATTAAAAGATAAAAAACAGAAACAGGGCTGGAAACAGATCTTGGGGCTCTGGCCTCTTTTGAAAGCTTCCCTGTCCCTCGTGTATTAGCTTCCTGCAGCTGCTCTAACAGATGAGCATGCTGGTGACCACTGCTCACTGCAACAGGGCAGAGGCAGGTGGACGGCACCAGACACTTGGGAGCGTGAGTCAGGGGATGACGCCCACCGTGATTATTCAGTGGCCTTGTCCTTGGCTGCTCAGGAGCAACATGCCCTGTGCTTTGGTGGGCTCCAGGCAGCCAGCAGAGTAATCATCTGCTTTGCCCTGGACAACCAGCAGGGTGAGGCGACACCTGGCTAAACTTAGCAGAGCAGACACACGAAAACAAGGGTCCTTTTCCTCCTGCGGAGCATCTGCTAAGATGAAGCTGGAAGAGGCTTGGGCTCCCTCGCCCTCCTGCTGCCCTTCCTCCAACCTGAGCCACCACTGTCTCTGGGGAACCTGGCCTTGAGGGTCAAGGGGAGCTATTACTTCTGCAGGCACCAGATCAGAACCCCAGTCCTGGGGGCCACATGGTCTGCCAATGCTGGGTCCCCCTAATTCCCAGGATTCCGATGAGGCCCTGGGGGCCAACGTGCCTCGTCCTCTGGATTGCATTTTGATGCAGAAGAGAAACACATTTGCCACACAGGAGCACAGGGGAAGAAGCCCCATACAGGGGAGAGGACAGGCAGGCAGCTGGCACTGAACATGAAGTCCACAGACCAAGTCCCACAGGGGAAAGGACCTTTGCTACACCGCCCGACAGTCAAGGAGAGGAGGCTGGGTCCCACCTAGCTGAGACTTTCCTCTTCCAACCGTCCAGCTGTCACTCCGATTACCAACCACTCCCTGGAAACTCCCAAAGCCCACACCTCCAGGGAGAGACCATCTGCTCTTTTGCCCTTGACTCCAAATACAAACATCCTGTTTTCTCCCAAAGAGCCAATGAAGTTGGGCCAGAGAGAAGAAACTAAACTTGGAGATGAGCTCAGATCTGGGACCCAGGAAGGAAGAAACCCAAAAGGTAAGAAAGATACAGAGCCATCTAGGAAGATAGGAACATCCAATAAGCCCAGGCTGGAGACCCAAGGAGTCTTGCTGTCTCTTCCAAAGTAGAAGCTGATGCACAAAACAAAACTCAAAATTGGGGGAAACCTGTACTGACAACACCTCCAAAACCAATACAGCTGATTTGCTTAGAGAAAATCCTGGTCCCAGAGAGAGACAAAGCAAAAATGTATAGATCTGTGTTCGCCCGGCCTGATCCCCAGAACAGTTTGCAGGGACCCAGGCTCCAATCACGTTAAAAGATAAAACCGTACACAGGCCCAATGCTGAATTCCACATCTGCTAAGACCAGCTTTCCACCTAATGAAGTAAGTTCAAGCCCAGCCTAGGTAACACAGTGACTTAGTAAGACCCCGTCTCAAAATAAAAAAATTTAAAAAGGGCTGGGGATGTAGCTCAGTGTGAAGCCCCTGAGTTCAATCCCCAGCACTGAAACAACAATGATGACAACGACAACAACAAAAACCACAATGTTTTACCACTCTAGCTAAATGTGAAAAATCCAAATGATAGCCATTCATAATAATTAAAAATGTTAACAAGTACTTACCACGTGGCACTCAGGGCTTTCCATAGTTCATGCAACAGCCTTTGAGATAGGTAATACTGTTCCAACTTTACAGATGGGAAACTGAGGAATTCAGCAAGTACAGTGCTAGGTGGCAGGGTTTATCTGAACTCAGCAGACTATCTCTGGAAGCCATCGTGACTTGCTTCCCAGAACAGAGCAGAGGCCAGCATGATTGATGGCAGGTTTTGCAAACTCAATGGCCATATCAGGTGCCTTCAGACCTGGGCCTGGAAGAGTCTTCCCAGAGCAAGGTGCCATGGCATACCCGGGGATTTAGCTCAGTGGTTCTGGCACCTGCCACGAAAGCGAAAGGTCCCGAGTTCGATCTCCTGTACTAAAAACAGAGTGCATGCACAGGAACGGCGGACTGGTTACAAGAGGGGAGCCACGGTTTTTCTGGAGCTGGAACACCTGCACCCGGGTCACCCGGTGTTGCATCACCCCTAGCTGCACAACTTGGGTGAGTTACTTCTCCAAGTCTGAGTGCTTCCACATAAAAGGCGGGGTGCACAGCAGTCCTGCCCCCTGAGTTTGTTTTGTGAGTTCCAGTCGGTGATCAGGAGCTATTAACACGGCCACAACAACTGCTAGAGGATTAAGTAGTTTCACTAATAACTTTCTTTAGCTGTATTCTGAGACTCTGCTCACCACTAAGCAGGGTGGGCAGCAGAAAACACAAACCCCACCCACCCCCAGGGAACCTTCCCTACCAGCACTGTGAGTGAACTGAGCTTCATACGAACAGGGTTCATCTTGATCCCGTATTTGCAAAAAGCTCTCACAAGTCTCAGAAGCATTTAATATTTACTGTCGATTTGTAAGTTAACATTTCTAATGAAGAATTTCTAAAACTAACACATTAACTTTTTAAAGTTTTTTAATCGGCTGGCAACAGATCTGGAATATAACACTCCCAGCCCCCGGGTCTCTGCACCCACACGGGTCACTGTGTGCTCCAGAGAAGGGCTCCCCTTTCTCTCCAAGTGAAAAGCGAAGTAGATCCTTAGGGTCAAGGGACAGGAACCACCCATCAGACCAGCTTGCCGGTGAACTTGACTGGAAAGTAAAACAAAGTTTACCCAGGAAAGAGAAACCAACGTTCACCATCTCCCTCCTATTCCTTTCTATTTCTGAGCCGAATCTGAACTAGATTGTGGCCAACATATGATACCAACTTCCGAGAGTGGGAATAACAGGATTTGGGGATTCGCTGCTTTCTGGCAGGGCTCCTTAGGTTATTTTTAGCAAATCTTAAATTATCCTTTTTTCCCTTTTTTCTTTCTTTCTCTCCTTAAGGACATAAAGAGCAGAGTGGAACCAAAACGAAGTAAGGATCTTGACATGTGGAACGCAAACTGCCCACACCACCCAAGCTACAGGCCAGAAATGCTAAGCAAGCAGGCACCGTGTAGCAGAAGGCCGACTTTGGGGGCTCAGCGTCGGCACCCTACAAGTTCCCTTTCGCGTTCTCCAACGATTCAGCCAGACAAAGACCGCAAGTTCCCCGGCCCGGAGCTCCACACAGGCGAGGTCAGTCTCCCCGAATTAGGCCCACTCCCATCGCTGGGCGCCCCCCCAACCCCCGGCCGGGGTGGTGGGGGAGTCCCCAGGGTGTCCCAGAGGTGCTCCCATGTCCACCCGCAACGCCCCCACTCCCGCTCCCGCCCCGGGCTCCTCGGGGCTGCGGCCGGACCCTGGGCCCTCCCCGGCCCAAGGCTGCAGGCCCACGCGCCCAGCGCGCCCCTACCCCGGCTCCGCCAAGAGGCGTCGTCCAGTCCCGAGGGGGCGTCAGGGATCCTGGCCCCACGGCCCGAGCCAGGCTCTGATACCCACCCGGATCCAGCCGCCGGGGGCCGGATTTGCGCCGGCTCCGAGAGCGGACAACGCCGCCGCGGTCGCCACAGCGCTGCCAGTGAGGCGCGGCGGGGCGGGGCGCGGAGCGGCGCGCGCGAAGCCCGCCCCCGGCCCGCCCCGATCCTCCCGCGGTCCTCCCGCCCGGCCCCCGCGCTCCCGAATCTCCCTCCTGCGCCTGGGATCGGAGCCCCGCGCCGCCAAGGCGAGCCGGGACTCCTCATGGAGCGCTCGCCCGCTCGGTGCTGCCCTCTGCATTTACGTTTTTCATATTTTGGGGAAGACCGGACACCTGGCAGAGGGCCCTGGGCGTCGCTCCTCCACCGAGGAGTCCTCGCAGGACGCCTGAGGAGACGACGCCGAGTGCCCCAAGCTCCCACTCCGCCTGCCACCCGAGGGGCTCATAGCGGTCCTGGGGTCCCTGGGGCCTTGCAGTGCGGGTCACACGTAGATACTATGGTCGCCTTAATGAAACCGGGAGCAGATAGCGATGGGAACCACACACGTGTGTGCCGTAACGTGAGTGCAGCTTCAGACCGCGTTCTCCACGTGCACGCGAAAGGCACAATGGCCGCGCGCCCGACCGCCGGGGCCCTAGGTGCGCGAGGTCCCCGCCCCGCCCCGCCGGATGTTGACGGCGTCGCCTAGCAACGGGAAATGGCGCAGCCGGGCGACCAGGCTGGAGGGTAAGCCGGGCCAAGAAGACAGTGGGTCTCAGGGATGCCAGGCTACGCTCCTCTAGCCTTCCACGCCCAGATGGCCCAAGCGTCGTCCCCTTCCCCTCCACGACCCTCTTCTCCCCCTTTCCGGGACTTTCCGACCCCTTCCCGTCCACCGCCCCCCTCACCCTTCTCCGCTCTCCCCCCTCCCATTCCCGTAGTCCAAGCTCTCTGCTCCCTCTGAGACCCCGGCTGACGATCCCCGGGTAACCATGGCAACTGCCAGGCCTGGCTGTCCCGGCTGCAGAGTGCAGCACGGGTCCATGGGATGCTGCCCCAACCTCGCGCTGGCGACACTGGACATTCGCAGGGATCCGGACGGCCCAGCCCCGAGCCTCCCTCCTGCAAGAACGGATCCGGGTCACAGGCTGGCGGCTGTGGTGGTGGGGTGGGGACAGGCAGCCCGGTGGAAGACACAGGACTGCACTTTCTTTGAGCCCAGGGCGAACCCTAAGCACACTCAGAGAGGTTCGCAAGGGGAAGATCTACGCCCCAGTTCGGATCGGTTTTGCCTCGTGAAGGGTAAAAACGATATGAAGAATTTGATTTTTTTAAAACCCTAGACACTTCTATATCGTTTTATGTTTTCTACAGAAAGCATAGATTTTGCACCAAATCTCCGACTGTTACCAGTAACCAGTGATCTTGGAAGGAGAGGGAAAATCGCAGGGGTCGCACATATCTATATTCCTTTGATGGAGGTTCGCTTATATTTTACTTTATTAAGAATATTATAAATCATACAATAAGTAAATAGTTGAGCTAAGGCAGAGGCTGGAGCTTTGTTCTTGTGCAGCCTTCTGTGCTCTGTATTTCTTGTCCCCTGTTTTGTCCTGGATGCAGTTTGGTTAAGGTGGCTTTTCTGGGATGATCGCATGGTGCTATTCCCTCAGTGTTTTAATGATTGTTTCTTTATTCCTTTTTGGACCAAGCTTGTGACACCTGGGCTTGTGACAAGCACAGTCTAGTGATGGGACAGAGGCCTGATGGACAGCCTGGGGCAAGAGAGAATTCACAAGTGCTCAAACAGGTATAGAGTTCAAGGGGTGATACATGCTAACCATTCCACTGTTCCCCTCTGCAACCAGGTCTCCCCTGGAAGGCGGATCAACTTCTGAAGGAGAGGAGAGACCTGGTGATGAAGGCCATGCAGTAAGGCTCCCTGGGAGAAGGTGCTCTGGGTTGATGTGGACTGGGAGGCACAGGGACTGGGACTTGCTCAGGTCAGTTGCACGGTGATCCTTTTACCTAGCACTGGGACAAACGGTGCAGGTGCCAAGAAACCCATGTTCCTTCTACCTCACTTCAGAGTGTGGGCAGTTAGCCAGGAATACCAAGGATAGCCAACTCCTGATCATCCTTAGTTTCTCAGAAGCCCTTTCCTGTGCAAAGTGAGCACAAGGAATATGGACCTAATACAGCGCAGGCCATTCTCCCCCCAGACACGATATCCGTGCCGATGTGTCTTCCCCACAAGAACATTACACTGCTAAGCACGGCTCATCTAATCCTTTCTTCTTTGTATAAACACCCGGGTCTTTTCTGCCCCCTTTTTCAGGTGTCACCACTGGAGAACAGTGACTGGAAAAGTGAAGAGGCCACGGGCATCTCGGGCCCTTCTGCAGGGGAAATTGAGGCTGAGGGCAAAGTGGAAATAAAAGACGAAGTAGGCATTGATGGGGCCGTGGGGACTGAAGGGGACTGTGAATCCACCCAGAAAGTGGAAACTGAAGAATATGAATCTGAGGTGGAAACTGCATCCCTTGAAGGACAAACTAGTTCAGAGCTCCTGTATTCAGACGTCAGTCCTCAGGAAGTGCTGGGAGATGATGCTGGCTCTGAATATCTGTACAAAGCCAGCCATGATTTCTCCCGAGAGGCTGGTGCATCGGAACCAGAGGTTGTCTCCAGAGAGCCGTCCCAGCCCGAGGGCCCGGATGCTTTGGGATCAATAGCAGGCCCCTTGGTGAGTAGCCCGGGTTCTGTTCAGTGTCCATGTGGTTCTTTGCCTCATGTATGGAGCTTAAAGAATAACCAAAACCTGCAATCCCCATTCAGGACATGTTAGCAAACATAGGTCTCGGAATCTGCTATGCAATGTGGACAGATCCTGTACTCCCATCAGTGTTCCTAGACCCGGGTCTGGTTGGTGTCATTGTGTTGCCACCATCCATGTAAGGGCGCCCAGGTTACCAGTCTTCCAGAGCAGCTCAGTCCAGTCCAGTCCAGTGGACATGAGCCACCTAGGGTCATGTGCTCATTTCAGGAGCACTTGTCATATGGCTTTTGAGGAGGAGCTGGGTTGTTAATTTTTAAAATTTCATATTAATTTATGTTTAAATAGCTAGCTGTGGCAAGTGGCTAAATCCTGGACAGTGCAGTTCTAGATCAAAACAATGAGAAAACAGTCAGGGTGGTGGCACACACCTGTGATCCCCATGACTGGGAGGCCGAGGTACAAGGATGGCAAGTTCGAGGCCAGGCTGGGCTACCTAGCGGGACCTTGTCTCAAAAGAAGATTTTTTAAAGGGGCTGGGGATGTAGCTTGGTGGTAGAGCGCTTGCCTAGTATGTGTGAGACCCTGGATTCAATTTTCTTCTACAAAAAGAAGAAAGAGGAGGAGGGGGAGGAAGAAAAGGGAGGACAGAGATGGAGGAGGATGAGGAGCAGGAGGAGGAGGAGGAGGAGGAGGAGGACGAGGACGAGGAGGACGAGGACGAGGACGAGGAGGACGACGACGACGACGACTGGAAAGTGTGTTGCTATATTACCCGGAAGTACTCAGGCCTCACTGCTATTTGCCCAGATGTTCCAGTAACAACTTTTATAGCAAAGAGATCACACCCAGAGTCACATCTCTAGTCTCCCCTGTTTCTCCTTGACTTTGATGACCTTGACCCTAGCAAAGATCACAGGCCAAGTTTTGTTGTTGTTTTTGCAATACTGAAATTGAGCTGAGAACCCAGGGTGCTTTACCACTGAGATACGCCCCCAGCCCTTTTTATTTGAGACAGGGTCTTGCTGAGTTGCCCAGGCTGACCTTGAAGTTGCGATCCTACCGCCTCAGCCTCCTGAATCACTAAGATCACAAGTGCACGTCGCCACATCCAGCCCAAGGCCAGCAATCTTGTAGAATGCCCCCTGGTTGGATTCACTGGTGTTTCTAGTTGTGGCCCCCTGCCTTCAGAGAACCAACACGCCCCTGTGGGTTCCAGGTGCCCCTCCTTAACACATTCACGCCCGGGTCTCCACTCAAGTGAAAAGGGCCAGGCTTCCCCCTTGTGGAGTAATTCTTTCCCTCCTTGTATTTAGTGATGATTTCTCAGGAAGGTACATTTTTGTTTAAAACAGGTAAGTGAAGGGGGGAATCTAAATGATACACTGTATATCTCTGAAACCAATGAAAACTTTCTAAGCACATGTGAAATAAAAAATAAAATAAATGAATATTTATTTATTTAGAATGAGAAAGAAAAATCACAACAGATTACTACCATTTATTTAGGTCTGCTTTCTGTTCCATAATGTGTACTGGTGCTCAACATCTTTTGCCAGATTTATCCCTAAGCATTTCTCACTTTTGGGTGCTGATGTAAGTGGTTCCCAGCTTACAGAAATGCAATAGTTTGTTATATTCTCCAATACAGCTAAACTCCGTTATTAGGATACTTTGCTTGGAGAATCCATAAGCTTTTTAATTAAAAAAACGGTCCTTTTGTCTGAAAAAAAAAGACAACCTCTTCTTTTCTGCTCTGTGCACTTTTCTTTCTTTTCCCTGCCTGCTTACATTGGCCAGACCCTCAAGTGCAATGCTGGGGCTGGGGATTAGCCCAGTGACCCTGCATCTGCCTTGCAAGCACAAGGTCCTGAGTTCGATCCCCAGTACCACACCAAAAAAGTGCAATGCCGAATAGAAATGGCATGGGTGACATCCTTGTCTTGCTTATTTTCTTATGGATTTATTAATGTTTTTATTTAATTTGAGACCCCTAGCTGCAGGCTCACAATGGCAGGAGCACGTACAGGAGGAAGCAGGGAGGGGCAGGCTGTCCCCAGCAGAACTCAGGGGTTCCAGGGTGCTTCTTTCTGAGAACACGCTACTGCTGACTTAAGAACCTCCCACATCTTAAAGGTTCTGCCACATCAATAGTGTCACCCTGGGGACCAGGCTTTACTCATGAGAGCCTTTGGGGGAGCACAGTTAAGCCATTATAAACCCCAGCAGCCCTCAGTGATCAGCCTTGTTGTTCTCCCCATAGAAGGGACCCCAGCAGGACTTCCAGCAGAAAGCCTTTCCTATGGGCTCACAGCACAGCTTCAGGATGAACCAAGAGAGCAGCGTGGTGCCCTCGGATGAGGAAGAG